ATAACCTAAATAAAACACTTTTATGGATTACAAGATTCTAATAATTTTATGACTTTAACTTTGTCGTAGATTGTACTGCCAGAAATAATCATTTTTCCTTTAATGGAAGTTATTTTTTTTCATAATAAAATTTAAACTATATAAGCATGACTCGACGAAAACGACCTATCAACATAATATATAAACATAATGTATAAACAAACAAATTTCTATGATTGTGCTATAGATATCTTCGTTTATGAATTTTCAAAAGAAATTCGTAACGATGATATGACTTGATCAATTTCGTGAGTTACTCTGGAATTCTATAATGTTACAAACAATAATTCGTCAATCTTTAAATTTGTCGCTTTATATACTTACATGTTGTCCACCAAATAGTGCTATCCAAAGATTACCATCTGTATCTACGGTCATTCCATCGGGTATCCCTTTCAAATCAGTCTTGTTAAGGTCAAACACAATCCTCTTATTAGCTAAAACAAAAAATATATAGCATAAGCATCTACAATCCCTAAATTCTATCTTTGAATCTTATGCCTCACGATTACTATAAATTTTTAGTTACATATGATGTATGCTTGCACACTTCATACAATATAATAAAAAATTAAGAACTCCAATGAAAATATGTAATAAACCTTACATATTTTCCCATCACTTGGATCGTAATCATACGCCGCAACCACGCGTGTAGGTGAGTCAATATAATAGAAGGTGTCATCTTCAATATTCCATGCCAATCCGTTACTTATTGAAACAGGCGATATTTCCTTCACAAACTTACGATCGTTGTCAACGCGATATAATGTTCCTTGATTGGGAGCTATCTGTCCATCGATTTCGTTAGCCATAGTACCTATACAAAATGTCAGTCATTTCAGATGAACAAATCGCATTTCTATTAATCGTGCGTTTCAGTTCTATTAAGCAAACGTTTTCAGTTTACCGATCCAAAATCTTCCAGATGAGTCCACCTTTCCATCGTTGGTTCTTGTTTGAGCCCGAGCAGATTCGAGCGAAGTCAACGGTTTGACCGGTACCTCCGACTGATCGCTGTTTCCGTCCCACGTAAGAAGAACAGCATTTTTTCCCACACCTGCTACAAGTTGGTCAGTCGAATCATCCACA